GTTTGCAACACTGCAAAATTGAATTACTGAACAAGTAAATAGGTGTGTATACAAAGAGCTGGAGCTGACTTGGTGGAGCTTTTGTCCTTCTATTCCTCTTTGGAAACTCTGTGCGAAGTCACACTTATTTATAGACAATGCTTTTGTGGTAAAAATTGAAAAAAAGAAATACCGTGTGAAGAGTGGTCTGATTTTCAGTCAGCCCTACTAGATATGACTTAGCTATTTTTTTTCAATGCATAATACGTTACTACTATCCTGCTGTGTTCATCACAGGCCCTATTTTGAACCATACATTCTGTCTCTGTGCTGTCAGAGTACCTAAAACTCTCAAAAATTTTAGGTAGAGAAGTACTGTTAATTTAAAAGTTAGGCACATCATTCATGATGGCAGGCTGTAATCCAACACAGTGAGTGAGGTTTTGAAGAACTCCACACTGCTTACTCAGGCAAGGCACAGTTTACCAAACTTTGCACCATTGTCTTTGGAGAAAAGAGATCAACAAGGGGTTTGAAGTCAACTAAGTCAATGGATGACTTGTTGAGGATCAAGCTCAGAAATCTAAAAAAAGTCTGATCCAAAAAAAGAGGAATGCTTGAACTAGCATTAACAGCCATCTGAAAAGCACAAAAGAAGCCTTCTGGTAAACTAGAAGAAAAAAACAAGAGTTTAAAATACTAATGGTCAGTATGCTAGAAAGGGAGCTCTGTATGATTCCTATCGTCATCCCTATTTTCTAATTTTGATTAAATATATATATATATATCTCAAGCATAGCAATGGCTCAGACTCCTTCTCTCTATATTTACATATCAAGTCTTTCTAGGTTACATGTTTTGGGGAAAGAAATTCTGTGTGTCGGTAGAAGAGAAACTAAATGTAATGCTGAAATCTTGTTAACCAAGAACTCAGGTTATATTCAATACTATAAAACAATGTATAATCAGGATGGACAAAAGAGATAAATTTAATATAATTCTTTTTAAGAATTTCTGCTAAAAGTTAATACACGTTCTTAACCACAATGAAAAGACATTTAGATCATTGCACATGGCTTGTGCCAGACTAGAACTTATAAGACTCTTTATGCTTGAGCCATTCATTTGTGATTGCTCAACAAAAGATTAAAAACTTGTTGATAGGCTTTGTACTCTTTAAAAGGGCAGAAGAAGAAACATCTGGTTCTGAAACTGGTATTGAAACTGCGTGCATGCAAGTCTACAGGGGGCTCCAAAACTCTATGCAGTGATATTTTAGATTAAATTAGTGTAATGCACTTTATGGTATACATAATTTCTAAAAGGATGGAGGGATTTATAAAAGAAGGAAGGAAGGGCACAAGAAAGAAAGAAGAATGGAAGGAGGAAAGAAAAGGATAATATTCTATTCATTCATCATTTATTTTTCTATTTTTAGATCGCAAGACTATTTCACCTGCTCTCATATGAGTTATAATTAATAGTAATAATAGAGTACTTAGCCTATATTGAAACAAAAATTAATGCCATTAACCCTCTGAAGCTTGTTACATGCAGTAACATTAGATCAATAAATGTTTTAAACATTGCATTCTGTTAAATACACATCAGTATGCAAAAGCCATAGAAAAACATAGTTCCAAAGCTTCTCCAAAAACTTCATATTATTTTTGACAGGGCCTGTAATCATACTGTTCATTATTGATTTAACATGTCAGAAACACGAGACATTTAAAAAAATATAAGGAAGGGGAAGGAAGGAAGGAAGGAAGGAAGGAAGGGAGGGAGGGAGGGAGGGAGAAAGGAAGGAAAGGAGGGAGGGAGGGAGGAAGGAAGGAAGCAAGGAAGGAAGGAAGGAAGGAAGCAAGGAAGGAAGGAAGCAAGGAAGGAAGGAAATTTTATTATTTAAGATTCTCCATCTGAATAGACTTCTCTGTCTTAGGAAAGGTATTGCTTGCAAATGGAAGCCAAAGCTTGCTTTCTGATTCATGTTGAACAGAGACAATTTTTCATTGCATTCCTGGTTCCAATCTTGATACAACTTCTTCATCACTAGAACGTGATGGTCATAACTTTAATTCTGCTTTTCTCTCCTCCTTTTGTCTTTTACATTTCTTACTGTCAAGGGATTTACACACTTTCCACTCAGCACATCATCCTCTGTAACCTTTTTGAATTGAGTTGATGTCCCTTTTCCTAACAATTGCCTGACATTTTTGATGTGTTATAATATGATTTTCCATACATTTATTATTTCTTCCTATGCCTAATTTGTCTTTAATTTTTGTAGCCTATAGTTATATCAATCAGGGCTATTTTGTTCTTATTATCTTTGTAAATTACATTAAGTCTATTTATAAATACTCATTTTAATTCAAGAAATAGTAAAGGTTCCCTTTGGGGAAAGCATATTGTTTTCACTTTTTCTGCTTTTCCAGACAATTTTATTTGACTTTCCTCATGTAAATGATAGAGCTATTTTGAAAAAAAGTATTAGTAATTGACAGAAACTGTTTGGTGAATAAATCTACTTTGTTTGACATAATTAAATGCATTAAGATTGAATTTTCTGTGGAAAGTTAATGTAAGCACTCCCTTAAACTGAAAAGAAAAAAAAGAAAAAATAAAGAAAAAATAAAGAAAAGACAATTCCCTCAGTCTCCTTTGGAAATGTCAGCCATAACTCTTTTTCATCATTCTAATAATTGAGGAGGAAGTAACAAAGGACTTAAAACACATTTTTCTCATCCTGGAGCAAATATGCAACTTGTCAACACAAGAGTCTCACAAGACATAGGCTAAACTGCATAAGCATGTGCTCATCTGGAGCAAATTCAGTGCTCATACACTAGTTTCTAACAAATGAGGATTTATGTCCTGATTAAGTAGCTCTGCTGACTTGATGCTCCTGTACTCAACTGTAAAGAACAACACATGAGGAAACTCATGTTTCTCCTCCTTGAGATTGTATCTACTTAATCTGCACTACATAACATTTAAAATTCCTATGCTATTATTACTTGATTTGGAGCTCTGATTTATTATGAATATTTTTAATAATGTGTTCCTGGCCTACAGTTTAGTATGTTCAACACATCTAAGAGCCTGTGGTCCTTTCGAAGGAAAGTATGGCTTTCAATGTTACCACTACTGCTTCATTAACTAAATCTCCATCTGTTGTCTAAACCCTCTCCTGAAGGAGGCAGCAAAACCTAATGACAGCAGGAAATTATCAGTTAGGCTGGGATAAGCTTACTACTGTGGAATAGTGGAAAATAAATCAAGAGGGTAGAGACTAACTAATAGTGGAGGCAGATGGAAGTGATGGAATGCATGCATACATGAGCTTAATGAAAGCACTTTCAGGGTGTAACATAGCTTGAATGAAAGACACGTTCTCTTTAGGAAATCTGATATATGGAACTGTTTTTCTATTTATTCCAATTATCTCCCACACTGTCAGAACTTTCTTCTAAATATCTGGGTTTCCCACAATGTTTTTCAACATTTGTTAATTTTTCCAAAGACTGAACTAAATGCATTACAAACCACTAAAGTAGTGCTGCCCGTTCCTCCCCCATCCTCTGTAGCTAGAATCTCTTGATGCAAAATATAAAAATAAATATACATAATTTTAACTGTATACACTTGCATAGTTTAAAATATGTATGCATCAAGGTTGTGTATCTGTTTATAGTAATCTAATAAACAAAAAATATTTTCTTGAAGAAAGTCATTTTGCAGTGCACTGTACTGAAAATAGTGTTTGCTTGGGGTACATGGAAAGCAGGAAAGCAAGTTTCTCTTTATACTAGCTCTTAATACTGCTGTGGTCTATTATGATTATTTCAAATATGAACTTTGAATTGTTTTCAGATATGATTCTTCTGGAATCAGAGAGTCATTCCAATATGCAGTATGTCTAGAGATAAAGGAAACCTGTTCAAAGTGCTAATGACTGGTTCTCCTTAAGCCTGAGAGAGAATGGGAGGCTCTGAATGGCAAATTATCTGACTGTTTCCCATGGACAGAAGTGGGCCTTATGTGATTGATTTCACTGATTCAGAGAATTCACTAAAATAGTCAAAAAATTATTTTGACTGCAGTCAATTTATTTGAAATTGTTTTGATATCAGAATTATGTGGTCACTTTTTGAGTTAGTATACCTATTTATGAAGAAAACTAGTTGCTAGAGCATGTCCAAAGAAGGGCAATGAAGCTGGTGAAGAGGCTGTAGCAGAGACCTCGCGAGGAGCAGCTGAGGGAGCTGGGGTGATTTAGACTGGAGGAGGCTCAGGGGTGACCTTATTGCTCTCTACAGCTACCTGACAGGAGGCTGTAGTGAGACAGGAGTCAGTATCTTGTTCAGAATATCTACAGATAGGACAAGAGGAAATGGCCTCAGGTTGCACCAGGGGAGGTTCAGGTTAGTTATTAGGAAGAATACAGGAAGTATTATACAGTTATTAATACAGGAAGTATAATACAGTTCTTAGGAAGAATACAGAATATTAGGAAGAGAGCATGGTGAAGCACTGGAACAGCCTGTCCAGGGAAGTGGTGGAGTCACTGTCTCTGTCAGTGTTCAGGAACTATGTAGATAGGGACATGGTTTAACAGGCATGAGGTCAGAGGGTTTATGGTTGGACTTGATGATCTTGAAGGTCTTTTCCAACCATAATGATTCTATGACTCTACGAACTTGAGTATAACTTCAAAACCAGCTGACACCTACAAGTTCATGGGGTTGGGTTCAACTTGCTTTAAATGTTCACAGTTAAGATGTATACCTCTATGAAAAGTCCACACAAGCTAATTTTATGGTTAAAAAAAAAAAAAAAAAAAAAAAAAGGGTAGGCATTTTCTTTCCCCCAGGTATAAAGAGCAAGTAGCTCAGATAGATAGATAGGTTGTGGTCATCCTGATTATATATCCTGAAGATATTATATTTAGTGGACATGACGGAGAGTCTATCATTAATATTCTCCATTGCTGTCAGACACACAACACATCAACATACCTACACTCCAGTCCATTTCCTCCACTGCGTCCCCATATAAGCCATGCTTGCTTTTTCCTATGAATTTTTTTGATGCATACAGAGCAGTATGGACATGAAGATAAGAGAGGACAAGAAGAAAGGGTGCATTTGTGTTCCTAAAAAACAAAAACAAAATTAAATATATACTTAGCATAATTTATAACAAAAATTCTACAAAGAAATCTTTCTACAACAGAGTCCCCAAAGGAGTAAAAGGAATACAAGATAGGATAAAGTAACTGATTACAGGGTAAATTGCATACACACAGCAAAAATTTAATTCTTAAGTACTTGCTGAATGGAACGCAAAAATGAAAAAATGTATCCAAATACTGTTTGCTATATATACTGAAAGAGGAGTTGGTTAAAACCAGGAACCTAACAGCATCTCTTCCTTCATTTTACAAAAACACCTAAAAAGCCCAGAAAAAACATGTTCAAAAATATGTATCTTTAGACTTACATATAATATGAAATATAGCTATTTTCCTTGCAAGGTCATTATTTGGAAGCTGATCAACTAATTAGACTTTTAGGAGGACCAGAATCAAACACGACATAATATCATTGAGAATGTCAAACCTAGTACACGAGCACTTTTCTCTGTTTCCATCCTGAAATAAGGTTTACGACAAAATCTTATCACTCAAGGCTGTATGTGTATGCAGGTGATCACTACCTAACCATATAAATATGCTGTATCAAAGCACAAATAATAATCTCAAAATACAAGCTATTATAGAGATCTTTTTTCCTCTTATAGTATTGAATGTACTCCATTTTATTCAGTCTGCTTCCTGAGAAAACAAAATCAGAATGGAATAGACTCTCTGTAAATTCTGCTGTTCATGTGATCTGTCAGGATGGTATTTATGATCACTTGCAGCAGGCTGTGAAAGCAAAGCTCAAATGAGAACTTTTTCTTATGCATTCTTTATAGAACTTTACTTAAAAGTGTTGAGTGCTAGCCACATTCACTCCCATACACTTTAACAACATCTGTAGTAGATTACACAAATTGTAAATTTCAATTGAATCAGAAAAGGACTACTCAGAAACCCTATCTTGGTCTCACTTTAAAAACTCACAAGTAATTACAGAGTATTTTTGGTTTTATTTACCATATCATCTCTCACCATCTTTGTGGTGGGTAATATCTGCAATTCATGCCCAGATCAAAGGAGATACTATATATTTCTTCCTACAGTCAAGGCAGCAGTCATTCATGTTTTAAATGCAAGGAACAACACAGACATGCACAAGCTATTCCTTTAGAATGAAAACAAAATCAAACCAAATCAAAAAACAAACAAAAAACCCTAAGATTTAGCAATCAAAAATCTGAAAAATAAAGATGTTGGAATAAAAAGGAGGCATATGACATCAGTTCTCAATTAATTATGTTTAATCTACTATATTTATTATTTTTGGTTGGTTTTTGTTTTTGTTTTTCCTGTTTCCTTAGTTGGGTATGTTTTTGTGGAAGTTGCATGGTTAAAGCTTTCCATTTCACTGGCATAGGGAGGCATGCTTAATCATAAAATAGAAGAAATTTATCCAGATTATTCACTTGATAAGTGTCTAGGTTCCTGACTAAGAGTTTTACTTCACTGAATGATTTTGTTTTAGAAAACTGCACTAGTATTCACAGAATACAAATTATTGTCATAAACTATCGTTTCTAAAAATAAAGTATAACTTTTTGATAAGTTTTCATAGCATTTCACTTATTGCCAGGTTGTTTGTTGGCAGGTTGATACGAGTTAAGTCATATATGTAGAGAACCATAGTGCAGCAACAAATAATACAGGTAATACAGGCTGCTTACAACATGCCAGCACTTCAAGTCAAGAAGATGCACAATCATTACAAAAGTTTAATATTTAATATTGGTATTGATAAAACACTGACCTTCCATTAAATAATATTGTTAAATGTGAGTGTCAAAAGTGTCCATTATAAATGCTGTTTTCAATAGATTATATATCTATATATATAAAGTATAAGTGACATAAAGATTTAACTTTCATGAAAAGACATCTAATCAATGATTGATATGGACGGGCACTAAATTATTCTCTTCTTTGGAACTCAAATTGACAGGTTCTGAATGACAGTTCGCTGTCAGGTGGAGAAGGGTCCTACCTATTAATATCCTATAAAAAGATCTGAAGCAGCTATTTATCTCCTGACAAAACTATTTTAGTAGAATCATAACTGACTACTTTTACTGTGACCTTGAAAATGTAATGACAACATCAGCTAGTAGGTGGGAGAGAAATTTGACAATAACAGCTTAACTCTCCTTTTATTAACTGAAGCACTTCAGTAAACAGCCCCTTTGAAAATTTATTGCCATCATCTTCTGCACAGTTCAAACACTTGGAAGTTCATTTTCCAAAGATCTGAGATTCACTTGCTCAAATGTAGCACAGAAGTTTTATCCTGACATGAATCACACAGTGATTACACACATCTAACATAAGGTATTCTTTAATGTATACTTAATTGATCTTGATAACTTCTAAGTGTATCCTTTGTTCTTTTCATTGCTGGTGATGACTCTACATTGCATTGTACTAAGTTCTTTTTATTTAGTGTGAGGAGTCTTTACAATATTCAAGGATTTAGTTTAGGCTTGAGCTGTGCTGAAATGGATGAAAGAATAAGTTACAGCTAAAATAAGGTCCAGCATTTTCCAGACTTTTTTCCTATGTACTTGCTGCATTGAAAACTTTTGTACAGACATGTACACTCCTGTGCCAGTGAAGACACCCTGATTCATAACAGTTGATTATGAGAACAGATGTATGTGACCTTGCCTGTGTTAGGTGAACATTGTGCTGTGTTAAAATTTTGTTTTAAAAAATTATAATCCAGCTAATTCACCCATAACAGTAAAACCTGAAAAGAACTATCTGAAATAGGTATAGAAGTAAAACATATTTTCCTTACAAGGGTGTGTAGGTAAGACTTCATAAGACTTACTGAATGAGAATGTATCATTTTCATATAATTACAGTATACCAGAGACACAGTTAAAATGCACTTGTGTGTTACTCTTAAAAGACACAGCTTAAAACACGCATCTTTTCATATTTGCAAAATTCTCATCAGAAAAAAAGAACTCTTGACCACTTAGGAACAACTTACCAAAAATGGAAAGATGTAGAAAGGAAAAAAAGGTAAAAATATAAACTATGACTGTTCATAGAAGATACTCCATGGGAAATTTGTCTCCATTACTTTGCTATATGTGAAATGATTCTTCAAGGCAGATTGCCAACATATCTCTAATATTTATATTTTCTTGCTTATTTGATCCTTTAAATGCTTGAGGTACACAGTTCATACATGTTTTATTGTCCTTTATATATAACCTTGTTTCTTCCTTTCAAAAAGCAGATTCTTGTGTGATAAAAATGAAGTTTTTCACCTACTACAATTAATATTCATTACTAAATCACTCTCCCTCACATACTATTGGAATTTAGTATGCAGATCTACCCACTTTTAGAAAGTGTTCCATTCACAATGCAGTCTGCCAATTATTACATACCTAGTTATGTCCTTAGTCATTCATAAATTGGTTTTATTCATTCTCAGATGGCCTTAAAGCATATAAAAAACATAGCTTCTTCCTGCTAGGTCTTCTAGTTAGAAGCACAGGTATGAGAAAAAGGCATGGAAATCCAGTAAAGTTGCTATGGCTTATAAGTTATTTTTTTAATATATCTGGGCATATACAAAGATACATGTATACAAAGATGTATGTATACAAAGATACATGGACTCTTCTCTATAATCTGTACTTTACTATAAACTATAGGGAAAATTATTGTAGAAGTTATAATATTATCTGATTTCAGAACTCTAACTCCTGTTAATTCTTTGTTTCCAAAGGAGACCTCTCCAACATGCCAACTACGTGCGCTTAAAACCTACTGATATACAGCAAAACTCAGGTCTGTTACAGTAGAGGACAATAAAAGTGGATATATTTTGTATCACTGTTTCAAAGACTGAAATAGAATAGATAAAAAAATCAAAAAATTATTAACTATAATCACAAACTTTTGAGTACTATGACTACACAATCTATCACTGAAATCAGTAAATCTGCAAGAAAATTGTTCAAGCATTACTTTCACAATAACTTTCAATTATACATACATGCTTATATGCAAATATTATTTCCCAGAAGTCAGATTCTTTTAGGCTTTTTTTTTAATAATTACTAATGGAGGTCAGTTTTCTGTGTTTGTTAGGGTGGTATTCTGTGGTACACAGTGGTATTTTCCTGTTGCCAATTTAAAGAAGTTTAAAATAGGTCTTTGTCATTTTTAAAATTTGAATTGCTTGTGCAGCAGGTTATTCAATAAAGAGTACGCTGAAGAGACACAAGTGGCAACCACATTGAACTTAACATGAAATAATTAGACTCTATCTGACTTTCAAATATACTGTAATGTCTACGGAGCATTCTGAAAGGTTTATAACATGTATACAGACTTGCTCTTGGGAAGAAGTAATTAGAATTAACATACACTGAGCTGACCTGTCCACATACAATGAGTGTGAGCAACTAAATTAGTATTTGTTTTCATCTACTGGATCTGACACTTGTAATTGCATCTTTTCCCAACCCATCTGGTTTCCAAGCATCAAATACTGTATTTCCTGTCTTTCAGTCTCCCTATAAGTACATTAAAAGAGTAACACACACATAGGAGAAGAATGAAGAACAAATAAAATATCTCCCTAAAAGCAGAGCAAGAATAGTTAGTATCACAGCTACCTGCTATGAAGAAATTCTAAAAAGGCTTGAAAAAAATCCAATACTACGATGTCATACAGTTAGCAGTATGACTGAAAAGTAACAGGACAAAAAAACTAAAATAAAGGAAGTCTATTGACTACAGTCCAAAGAACTTACAAAGGTATATAGCAGACATTGTATGGTAGGGGCATCCAGATCAGGAATCATAGCACATATAGGACGTATCAGAACTGCTGAATGTCAGAGTCTTTCCATATATTTATTGTAAAGACAACTAATCAATTACAATAGGCATGAAAACTGACCATTTTTAGTTGGATGACAGAATGTATTAACAACTGGTTACAAGGAATGACTGTCTAAATTCTCTGAATTCAGGATTCTTAGAGTCAGTATACTTGTGCACATGGATTACTGCTGTACAATACCGAGCTTGCTGCTTACCACATTTGCCAACCAAAAGAAACCTCTGTTAGAAATCCAGTGTTGAGCTGATCATGTGGCCAGACAGGCACAAGGACAGAGTGAGCCTACTCCATGAAAGAAGCGGGACTACAAAAATGCTTTGGTTCTAGAAACTGTGGCTTCCAAAAATATGGTGACTATTTGCTTAAGAGGGCTGCATGCCTGCTCCAAGCATCCTGATTTCCTGTATACTACCATTCCCCTACAAATGGCCTAAATCACTATATTAAAAACAGCGGTCTGGTGGTGGACAGGAATTGACAGGTATGAACTGTTTTAATGTCAGGAATAATGTGTAAGTATTGATTTTGTTGTTCATACTATTATATGGAACTGACCAGTTCAGGGTATATTAACCTGTTTACTCTTTTCTTCAGGAGGATATTTTATAGCCATATATTTTGCACGTGAATTTGCTGCAGGGCACAATTAAGATTGCTAAGATGGCCTATTTGTTTCTCAACATCTTAATATGCTTGGATATTTTTTTATTTAGCATTGACTCTGAATCATGTGGGTTATAATTCTCAGTGTAATTGCAGCATCCCTGTAATGCAGTTTATTGAAAATTACCAATATGTGCTATTAACCTTTGCTTCAATCTAAGATAATTTTTGTCAGGAAACTATACTGAGAACTGGGGGAAAGTGCCAAGCTGATTTAATGCACTTACCTCTAGTTGAATCAACAGAACTATGCTGAGTTAGATCGTATGCTGTTTCACCAGCTCTAGACACTAAACTACATAATAATATTGTGCACATTATGAGCATTAGTAAAGAAAGTTACTAGTTCCCAAGCGTACATTCCTAATCTTGAACTCATCTGTTTTAGGCTATCAATTTATTGCCATTACACTGAAATCAATGAAACATTTAAAAATATCCAAAAAATGATTAACCACTGTGGGTATCTTATACAGTGGCAAATCATGGGAGAATCTGCCAGCATACAGTTAATGTGCTCTCTGAAGAATCTTTTATAAATCACTTTATAAAGTGCTCGGTCACTAACCAAGCAACCTCTGCCCAGCAATATTCAAGGGTATGTGTGTGAGTTTACATCTTGCTACATTTGCTGTAAGTAAAATATTTTACTGTTCAAATAATTATATTAGAAAGCATCTTTGCCTATCATCATAACTAATGGGAAATAAATATACAACTATTTATTTGTAAATATAAATTGTATGTTGATTGTTGGGAGGACTTACTGAAAGAAATTTGATCCAAGAAACATCTTGTTTTGGTATCATGAGTACAGATGGCTATGTCAGATATTTATAATGACCAAAACATGGAATAGAAAATTTGCAGTGAAAGATCAGTATCTTCACTTTTCTAGATAAAAGTCTTCATAACCAATCTAGTGAAATTTTCTCAACTTCTTTGCTGCTTTTATTAAGTAATGATACTATGTGAATATCTGGTACCTGACACTACCTGATAGCAGTAGGTCATAACAGTAATTAAGAGACTTCATATGTTTTAAAACATGATCATATATGTGATTAACTTTTTTTAGAAATGGTGCAATCTGTTTCAAAAGTTACTGAAAACAATTCATTGGCAAGTTTTTCAAGAAGTTATATGGATGAAATACTTTTGCTTCAAATATTTTGATTTATATTTTTAAATATAAATTTTATATTTTGATTTATATTTTTTAAATCCACATGTATGCTTTGATCACATATACACACATACAACGGGGACAAGATTGGAAATAAAGTTACTTAGGCCATAGTTAACTTTGCAAAAATCATGACCCAATGTTTGAGTAACACAGTGTGACCCATGTTAAAAAATGATGTTTTCAAAAAACATTGATTTCCAACCTTCTGTAAATCACATCTTTTTCAAAATGAATGCGACATAAAAACGGTGTCATCCAAAATCACAGCAGCTTTAACAAACTGGCCTTATGAATGTAATTTAATGGATGCATCAAATTAGTGACGAAGAACTGTTTCTCACTCAAGAAAAATGAATTAGGATTCTATATTGTGCTAACTTTATATAATTAAGTCAAACTACAGAAGATTTTTCTTATTTTTAAGTTACATGAAATTCCCAAGAATGGGAATTCTAAAAAATGTTAAAAGTTTAATAAATATTTTTAAGGGACATTCTGAAACAAGTAACTAGTTTATAAATCTTACAGAGGTACCGCATAGAAAATACTAAAGAGAGAAAGACAAAGTGATAGTTTTCCCCGGTGTATACCTGGTTTCTACTTTAAAACGTTCGCTTTCACTAAGCAGATTAACTATCATCTTCAGTCAGCTTTTGAAGAAGGAAATTGCAATAATGTATAATGACATTTTCTTCTTGTACACTAGTTTGCATTCAATACTTTATAAGAAGTGCTGTTATTGTGAAACACCAGCATAACTCCTAACAGTTAAAAACTTACCTTCCTATAAACTGTACTGCTTCTTTTGTTAGTCTCTGAGTGAGGTTCTCATATGACAGTGGTTGCTGGATAACCTGATGGTTCCTCATTAAGAAGCAGTTCAGGTATCGATAATTATAAAAGAAAAAAAACAAAGCGGCAAGTGAAACAGCAGTTATTAGCAAGCAATAGCACAAAGCTCGGAAAGGTATTTTGAGGAAGCCAATCAAATGCACTGCTGCCAAAGAGACTAGAGTGATTCCAATGATTTCTATTGAGGTAGCAAGAGATTTTCCAATTCCTTTTAAAAACACACTGCCTTGCCCCAGTTTGCAGTCTCTAAGATTGGTCACGGTAATTCCATAGAAGTAATCAAATCCATGATTGAGGGGGTGGTGACAGAAGTCATTACTGCTTTCACAATTCATCCCAAGATGCCACTTTCCTACAAAGAGAGGGACAGAGTATTTTTGCAGTTAAATCATCAGACTTAGAACATGCACCCTTCCAAACATGAAACTGTCGCTATATGACTGATATTCCCCACCCACAACATTTATGGTGTGTATCCCTATTTTATTCCCAACCTGTTCTTTATAATTTCATCAAAGATGTTGCTTCAAGTCTGCTTTTCTTTTCAGTTAGAAATATCTTGGCATAGTTCCTGACAGACACCATTAAATTCTGAGTGGGCTAGCAGGTCACTGAAGAGCAACAGCAGATAGTTAACTTTGGAAATGAAGCCTTTCTGTATGTTTCATAATAAAATACATTTTTGGACCAGCTACCACTTTCTTTGGAAGAGCCAATATGGAATTAACCATAGTTCTGAAATTTATTGAGCAGATCATTCACATTTGACTAGCTTTAAAAAGACAACGGTAACAAAGAGGAAGTAAAACAAGAATGTTAAAATTACTATAGCATTTATTATTCAAATGGTTGTAAAATCTCCAGAATTACCAGTTGACACTATCAGCATTAATTATTGCTTCTTCTTTGCTTGGGTGAGGAGTAAGATAGATATATAAATACAAATAAGTAAATATTTATCTCTACATACATATATAAAAAAAACCACTAGCAAGTACATTACCACCAAATATTGCTTCTCATAGCATTTTGTCCCACTGGGAAACAATTCTATTTTTGCAATATGTTGCACACTGACTGTCATAATACAAACAGTGTGCCTGATCTGCAATATAGTGGAAAAAACTATGTCCATAATGTTTGCAGTATGTATTTAGGAAATTCACTCTGCAACAAAGGCACAACACCTTACTGCATGCTTGTGCAATGCTTAGCATAACAGAGCTAACTGTTTACTAGCTGCTGTTTTAATTCAAAATTTTAATCAACAAGAACTACAAATTCATCTTGACTCAATGCATCAGGCTCTAGTTAAGCCTGTTGACATAAATGTTGTTTGGACAAATGCTATTTGGTCTCAGAAAGGACATGTGTCAAACACTGGACAAAACTTTCAGGGTCGCCCTTGTTAAAATAGATGATATTTTATATTACCAGGCCAAATTGGATTTATTCTTGCTAAATCAAATAACTAAATGTGACATAAATATGACCTCAATAACTAAATATGCCAATAGTGGTTGTTATCTTAAAAGAAAGAAATAAATATAAAGCCCTCCAAAACCCAGTAAGTCCTTACCTCCATAATATAGCCCAAAAAAATCTGAAATATTTTGTTCAATAAGCTTTTAGAGTACTGATGGTGGAAAATATATAAAATGGAATAAAGTACATATGGAATTTTTCCCTTTTCCTAGTCATGACAGCTTTTACACAACTGTAAGAAGGAGTCCAAATGCAGGCATTCCCAAATATCTTCTGGGCCGAGAGCAGCATATACACATTCTGCACTTCAGCTTTTGGAAATGATAAATATGGGCACTACAGTATCAGAGAGGGTCAACTCTGATTTTAAGCAGTATCATCTAACAAATGAGTTCAGTGTCGGCATTTCTCTTTCATAGTCAGCAGGTATGGATAAGGAATGGAAATACATTTATTTAAGTTCTCTCATCAGTAAAGATGTGAGTCTAATACAATGTTTAATTTTCTAAATCATAAACATACTGAAAGTCTAGTTTTCCTGGCACATCACTTGATGTCTTAGGTTAATATATCTAGAAACATCATCAGTGTATCACAAAAGCAGGCATAAAAGCATTTTCTGATGCGTTTATGTTCAGACTGCTTTTTCTTTCATTCCGCCAGAAGTTTTATCATTTACTGTTAAGATGGTCACCTTAACCTCAAAGGCTATTCTGTTTCCCAAGGAAAGAATGATTCAAGTCCCTACTTCTGAACTGGTCAAAAGTGAACAGTACTGTGACTGCTTACAGAAATAGCAATGTGACCATTGTTTTGAATTTTTAGAGGATAAAATGCTGCCATAACAAGCTGAGACTGAAATGAACTTGAGCCTCAAAAAATATCTGTTTGGAAACAACATAATTCAAAAAAAGGCAGAGACAGTGCAGATTAGCCGGGAAAAGCAAGAGAAGCATAGGTACAAGTTATGTAGGGAACTGACTGAAAGACACAAGTGCCATTTTTAAAGGGATGATAAGGTAGACAGTTTCCATAGGCCTTGCTGTTCTGAGAAGAGAGATGATGACTGGGCCCACAAAACCTATTTTATTAGGTTTTGACCATTTCTTTGACTGCTCTACTATTCTTTGAGATGGTAAGTCCTGCTTTGAACTAGCTTTTCAATACATAATTGTAATGTACTTTACATTCTAGAATCTTTCAAATCTGGGAGCAGTGCAAAATACTCTCAGCTCTTACTAAGTCAAGCTACATATAATATGAATTCTTCAGATAAGCATCATACAATTTTCAGCAGATTCTATGAAGCTTTTGGGTGAAATTTAAGCTGTTAATTGTATATTATGAGTACTTTAATAGTTTTGGGCCTATTTTTTTCCACTCTCCTGCCACAATTAAGATTTCTGCAAAGTAAAAGCAATGGAAAAGAATGGTAAATGAGAAACAAATCCCATCCATCTAAGAAACTTCATTTGAAACTTACTTCTCCTCTTGCTACTCCCAAAGCCATTATTCTAGGCAGACTATAAAAATCCATGCTTTTCTTCTATCTATCTTCCACTCAGTTGTACGTATTTATTACTATTTCTTTTAGCATGCTTTTGTGCTCTTTAAATAAGTGGTAATGGCCTGCAGTGCAAGATGCAGGAGAATGTTTTATACATTCAAAGAAACATATTTATATGACATGCATAGTAATATTAGTAATTTACAGTATATATGCATATATTATTAATATGGTAAGATTTTAAACTGCTTCAATCTGAAATTCTGTTACCTCCTAATCTCTCCCAATTCACTTAATCGAACCAGCTGATTTTGCATTCTTCACTATGGCCACACTGTGTCCAAACACCACATTTCTCATTCTAGAGACAAAATACAACTCCCAATTTATGCATCAGGATTTCTGACTTTGGAGATAGGCTACAAAGGTGGACTTTAAATTCCTCTGGGTGCTAAACAACATGCTGAATAGAAGACTTTTCAACTGGGTCTCTTCCTGCCAGATCTATTGCATGCCACCTTCTTTGTGTCAAATGAGAAGGGCAGTGAGATAAAAGAATGCATACATAAAATAGATTTATAGATTAAAATATATATTTAGGGGCATAGCAAGCAAAAGAAAGTACATATTCAAAGGAGGAAAAGAGGAAAAAAAAACAGAGGAAAATTCATTTAGAGAAGAAAAATTTGCCCTTAGAGATTAAAGGGGAGAGCAACTTGGCTAAGAAAAAGGAGTGATAGCACAGGCTTGAGGAAAAGAAAAGCTTCAAATTATCCTTATGCCAATCCATCACAGGTACAGGATTTGACAATTAATTGTTTGGGAATTGCTGAGTTAGACTGAACCAAGCAATGACTCCCTGACCTAGACCAAGATGATGTGACAAGAATACCAGCAGAGGAATAAAATGGGCAGGCTGGGAATCAGAGTCTGCCTTTCTCTTCTTCAAATCTACATAATTTTTCTTTTTGTCATTTACATATGCCTTATACTTAATTTTAATACTCTTCTTGATTTTCTGGAAGGCTTCATTATACTCTAAGGGTATAGTAATATAACATTTTATGGTTTCATAGCTATCATTCAAGCCACTTGGAAGAACTGTTTATTAAGCAACATGGAGATAACTTCTTGAGATCTAAGTGACAAGCTGTCAAGTTGCAGTGAAAGTAATTAAAAAAATGTTAACTAGGTCAGCCCCTCAAAATGAATTGTATTACAGTGTTTGTTAAAAAGAGAAGAATGAATTTTCTGCAGTCTTTAACTGGAGATGGAGCAACAGAAGTAACTCCATGATAAACAGGACAAATTATTCTATGAATGGCTTTGTTGTACTAAGGTTCAGATACATCTGCATTAAATACATTTCTATTAAGTTATCTGTTTCTCTGCTGTAAATCTGTCAGGACATAAAGATATCTTATACTTTCAAAGAAGTATAGCAAAGTGGACTTGCTTACTTGGGAACATCAGCACTGAGGTAGGTACATCGTGCAGATTTTTTTTAAACACTTTTTCTAATCACTAAAGAAACATTATTTTTTAAATAAAAATTCTGCAATTTGCAATTAATATGCAATTACAAATCAAGTTAGGTGCATACAGCTTTTAAAGAATTACAGTAACATACCTATATGATCCTTTCTAAAGAACTATTTCCTCTACTGAAAGGAAGAATGTATAGAGTTTGGTAGAGAAAGACCATATGTATTATTTAATATAAGCTGTATTTCACAAGTATCTGCTGAAATGTAAGCAAAGTGGAATAAACCTTTCTCATTATTCAAATGCTATACCTGTATGACAGTCATTTCAGCTCTTTTTAATATTTATACAGTGGGGCCCCTTTTGCCCATCATTGGGCATTTATGTCCAAGTTGCTTGCCCAAGCTATTTTTATAATGAGAAACTTACCTTTTTATATTAAATGCCTACTACAGATGGCATAAACTTCCTAGAAATGACCATTTCTCTCCAGTGACTAAGAGGCTAGATGGCTAGATCAGATATTAGTTATCTACATTATGAAGGTATCTGATTGCTGCTCTGATTTGTACCCTAATCCCTCACTATCTCTCTGCTGCAGATTCCTATTTTAAATTTATACCAAAAACTTTTCATGAGATGGACAGATTTTCAATTTGTTAGACATTTGTTCATTACATTGAGACTACAACTATAGAAGTGAATTAGACAACAGAGCCAGTGAGGATGGTGCTGGCTTCTTTTCAGTGGCAGCCACCGACAGAACTAGAGGTAACGGCCACAAACTGAAGCACCAAAAGTTCCACCTGAACTTAAGGAAAAATTTCTTAACAGTGAGGGTGACAGAGCCCTGGAACAGGCTGCCCAGAGAGGTTGCGGAGTCTCCTTCTCTGGAGATCTTCAAAACCCGCTTGGACGCAGTCCTGTGCCACATGCTCTAGGTGTCCCTGCGTGTGCAGGGGATTGGACTAGATGATCTCTAGAGGTCCCTTCCAACCTTAAGCATTCTGTGATTCTATAACATACTTACATGATTAGTGTTTCGTATATCTATGGGAATGTATATATGCTCAACCTTTTATTAAAAATCTCATTATGCTGTGGGGAAAAAAATAAAAGCTTAATGCAGACGCTTAACTCATTAGATGGAAAGTTAATGTACTTACTTCTGATGCAAATGAATGAAAAATAACATTTTGTATTTTAGCAATTTTACCTATTAGAGCTGTTGAATAACCTCTCTGCTTCAGGAGTTTGGAAAAAGTTATTTCTTCAGAAGGAAGCCCTCCAGAAGAGGCAGAAAATAAGAAGACACCAACTCGTGAGTGGGCAGCCATTCCTAAATACCATGAAAATGAGTGAGAACCTAGATAATACAGTGAAAGAGTTTTCATCCATTCCACATGCAATTTTTGAAGTTGTATCACTTTAATGACATATTGCCACCAGTCACTATTAAATGTAAGCGGCAGACCCAATTATCCCTTTAGTTGAGTAAGGCAATTTCTGTACTGTCACCAGAACTTGAGAAGTAGAAAAAAAGAAAATTATCTGTTTATAATTGTGCAGCAGCTGCACAGTTATGCACATAAGCAGCTCCAGCCCCCTCTGTGGACGTTTTGAGGTATAACATATCTAAAAGAAGTTCAGCTTGCATAATTCATTTTCTTCTGCTAAGGGAGCTAGGGATTAAACATGAGCACTCTTAAATTCTATTCTCATTCTGTCCACTTTCCTTATAGGTGGTTTTCTACAAGTCTGTAAGACTATCTGAGAGAAAGCAGGAAATTTTACTGCCAGGCACATAAAATAACATAATCAAAAAAAGAGCAGGAAAAAAATCTGATTTAGAAACATATTGGCTAGGGTGCTCAGGCTCTGTGAGAAATGCCCACATGCTCAAATGGCATGAACAGACATTCTAAATTCCAGTCTGGGTGCATTAAAGCAGCATCACGTATGAGCTAATAAGGAAATATGTAAATAAGGCACAGTAATTTCTATAAATAGAGAGTCTGAAAAGCACAAGCCTGGGCCGGTTCAACTGAGTATGAGGAACTTGGGAGCTCCCCAAGAAAATTAGATTACTGGGATTCCAGATGAGAGTTGTCTTAGAATATAGACAGAACAAGTAAGCGTCTCTGTAAATCTATGCAGATATCTCTTCAGGAAGTCTGAAATAGGTAACTGAGTAATTGCACTGCCAAAATTACATGCCTAATGTAGGTAGCCAGAATCTTCCCTTAGGCATTCATTGTGGTTAGAAGAAAAAAAGTTTGCTAGACTAGCTCATTAAAGACAGGTCTACCTACCTTTCAAATGTTGCCTGCAGATTTTTACCCTTATGCAACATAGTCAGTTTTATTGATAAACAGTTTAAGTAATTTTAGTCTTCTATATCTGTACTTTATTTGAAGGTGTATTTTGAACTCTCATAATTGAAATTAATGTAATTTCACTAAGTCACTGGAATTAAAGAAATGAACATAACTCTCTCCTGCATTTTGGAGTATTTCTCTTCAACTCTATTAAAAGGGTATTTACATTTCTTTCTTTCCTCTTCCCTCCCCGCCCCCACTAAAATCTTCCAGTCTTTTGGAAGATTTTTGGAAGATTCTAGTATCTTTCAAAATAACCCTTTGTTAGCTTCTCCCTGATGTCTGGAAGTAATCCATAATTAGTAATTCCTAACTTTATTAAAACAAAATTCATTTTTTTTTGTAGATGAATGGAAATGATTAGGTAAGACAGAAAGTAAGATCAGTCAAGAAAACAAAATCAGTTCAAATGTCAATTTTTCAGAAATAAGAACAAGAATAATAATGGAAAATGACCTGTGGCTTTACTTACAGCACATTTTAATAGTAATATAGCTGTAATGCATACATACATTTTTTCCTTTCAGCAGAATGTAATGGAAAATTCAGCAAGCCATATAAGCTGGCACTTCTTCAGCAGCTTGTTACTTGATTTGAATGAACATGAACATATCAAGTAGGCTCCAGAGTCTTGCTTTGCTTTCATTCCCAGAAGCAAGGACAGGATGTTTTATCACTAATGAACAAGTGATCTGATTAATGTATAATGATCCTTGCTAAAAATTATGTTAAGAGAATGATAAAGCTGCATGGTTAAGCACTGAAAGGCTTATTCCCAGGCTGTTAAAGTAAACACATGATTTTTTTATTGTCTTAAATGGGCTTTGCATCAGGCCCTTTAGAAGTAACAGAAGTTATTAAAGATATATGTACTTGTTGGATTCTTAGCATTGTGGATGGGAATATATGAAGACAGAATATTTAGGAGGAAGGGAGAATTTTTGCTTTCTTCTCTCCAGTTTCAAAAGTTGCTGGAATATCTTAATTTTAATTAGGAAAAAAAAATATTAATTTGTCTAAATCAAAATGTTTTGAAGAAACAGAAATATCTCAGCAAGAAAGTTTAAAATAAATTCTGCCCTGTGTCTTCCTAGATGTGTGGTGAGTAAATCAGTGCTGATTTTCCTAAGAAGGAATAATTGGTTTTCAATATTCCCTTCTCTAGATATTGCTCTTAAATGCTAGTTTTCATGTTTCTACAGAAATACATAGGAAATATGGCTCAGTCTGAGGTCCAATGGAATCCTCTGTGATCTTCAACACTCAGGCTGTCTTCACCACTCGGTGAGCAGCCAGAAGACAACTAGGGAATGAGAGAGGCCTCCATCATTTAGACAGTGGACCAAGTCCATGAACATTGGTTGTTACTTCCACTTTAAATAACCATAATCAGATGTTTCCCCAATATTTTTAAATAATTCATTTCCTTCCTTCCTTCCTGCCTTCCTCTCTTCCTTCCTTCATTTTAAGCTTTATGGTGTATAAACTCTTCTGAAAACTAATAATTTCTCATTTTTGGAAGATTTCCAATGTTGACCAACTCTGCTGAGCTTCATTTGGTAGTGACCTAAATTCCAGCCTGAAGAGGATAAAGACATCAAAAAAGACAGAGAGGAAGATGCACATGGCTTATTGCAAATTAAGTAAAATTGACATATTAATAGGAATATGGGACTTTACCTGATCTGATAGGATATCGTCCTGTCAGGAAAGCTGCCCTACTTGGAGTACAGAGTGGGGATGCTGCAATATGCTGAGTAAGTGTCACACCATCCTTGGCTAGCCTGTCAATATTTGGAGTTCTAGAAATATATAATTGATATAAAATTATTTAGAAACAGGCATGGTGTGATCAAAGCATCCGAGGCAAAAAATACCAAAAATATCACATAACCAGTGATATAGACCAGTGTAAGCAAATTATAAAAAAGACAGTTGTGTTTCACATTTAAATACAGCCCTAGCAAATATGCTTAACTTTGTTATCTTAAAAAATTATAAAAAAGACGGTGGTGTTGCACATCTTAATACAGCCCTAGCAAATATGCTTATCTTTATTAGGTGTTAATATCAAAGTAGCTTTGTGGCATTCTGCTAAAAATCTTTTTTCTCACTTTCATTCCCTTGCCATGGACAATAAAAACTAATCTGTGACACCTGGCCCTGTTGTATTTCAAGACCTTTTTATGTATTTGTTTACCCAAAACTTTGACTCTGCTATTTACATGGCTTTTTGCTTTAGCCATGGTCAGGGGACAGACTGGAGAAAGATGCTGCTTGCTTACTCCCAGCTTGATGGTGCTTCTCCCCGAAGAGAGACAATAATGAGGCCATTTGGAACCTGACTGTCCCAGAGCCAGTATCAGCTGCCCTGGATAGCGAGATAATCTCTGTGATATGGAAGATGGATATTGTCCTCTTAGTGCCACTGTCTTTGGCTGACCAATAAATTTACATCAGCTGAAGAATGAAGAGTTACCAGGAAAAATGGAAAGTGTCTACCCAGAGAAAACCAAAATTCCATTGATCCCTTTTCAAAAGGACATACCCTATATGGTATTATGAGTTTTTTTTGAGGAGGTAGGAGGAAAGGGAGATGGATATTATCACTTTATAGGAGAGATTTAAATGGTCATGGCTGTTCATGACTCTCTGTATTAATGATGTTTGCAGACTACATCTGTAATATTAGACCCAGGAGCACTTTCGAGTTTTCAAATCTGCATATGAATCTTGCTTGCATGCATATGAAAATTGGTTTCTGCAGAATGAAATCCTGTGCCTTTAGTTCTACAGAAAACAAACACACAAACAAACAAAAATCATAGACATGAATACTAGTCAGGAACTGCAAAGTGCTCTAGTAAGTCCCTGATTCATGACCATAACCTCGAGACACACTACATTCTCCTATTCTGACTGACAGCTAGAGCTGACTACAGTCAGAAACATTAATTTTCCATCTGTTTTTGCTATTACATCACCTATAGACAACTACCAGTGTAAAGCAATTCCTTCATAATCTAAAATTTAATTATGAACTGCCACATCAGAGAATACAGTTCTTTCAGTATTTCTGATTCTTTGTGTGGGAAGGAATGGCACAAACACCTGGCTATGTCATTTTTTCTTGTTTAAAACCAGAGGTTGTAAGACGAGTTGTTTTAGTGAGCTACAAGAAGATTTCACTTACAACTAATATCAACAAGGGCACTTAACACTCAACTGGACACTGCCTTTGGTCTGAATGGTCTATTTAACTTCATCATAGCTTCTTTTTGCACCACTGAAATCAGAAATAGGCTCAGCTTGTGCTTTTTATTCAGTCATGATCACCTTGGGGAACACTGCTGATTTAGTCAGGTGTATTAATATTGGTTTTAATGAATTCATATTACTACAGTACAAAGACAAGAGAGGAAAGAAAATAGCACTTTTGTCCAAAGAGTTAGTGACTTTTTTTTCTCAAATCACAAAACTTCTTCAAAATAAATATACTTAATTTAGATTTGTGCCAAAATAATTTTAATAAAATTATTGATTATACTTTAGTTTTGTGGATCTTAAAGTTATTTTGGTCGCACAGTTATCTATTTAAAATGCAATGCTTTAGCAAGATAAAGAATATGTGATAAGCATTTCTTAGTAAAAAAAAAAAAAGATTGAACATTCTGCAGAAAGATTAGCTTGATAATATATACAGAACCTTATCAAAGGTCTCAACATTTGTATTTTATTAACGTTACAAATTTCTAGAAAAAATGAAGACAAGATTTGTCTCAAAATATCATCATACCGTAAGGTTCTGTTCCCGTAGCATCCCAGGTCTCCAATACCAAGATCATCAGCCATTAGTAAAATGACATTGGGATTTGAAACACTGTGACTATGGACATTCCTTATGGCACACTGGCAAATTATTAGAAATAAAAGTTGTCTCATCTTCTTCCTGGTGTGTAAGAGCAGGTGGAAACATTATAGATAAAGACTGCACATTTTGTTATTTGATTGTTCCTCTGACTTAGCCCTATTATTGCTCTGGATTTCATAGAATAAAAACAAGATTGTCAGGGGGGCAATTTTTTTTCTCAAGAGTTTATTTTATTTTATTTTATTTTATTTTATTTTATTTTATTTTATTTTATTTTATTTTATTTTATTTTATTTTATTTATTTTTTTATATATTTGTTGTCCCTCTCTATCTCTTCCACCCAGAGGTAAGGCCTTTAATAAAAACAGAACAGTAATCAACCTCAGTGACAATACTTTTGTATAAACAGAGGCACTATCAATAAATTATGATAGCATGAAAGGGTTTTTGTTGTTTGTTTTTATCAGGCTTATATTTATTTTGAGAAACACAGAAACTGAAATCATTTGGGATCACAATTTCCAAATTATGGAAAAAAAAACCCATCAAATTCTGCTACTGAAGTAAATGACTAAACTTCTTTTCATAATGGGAAAAAATTCCATTTGGATTTCTTGACAAGAATAAACATTATGGCAAAAGGAGCGAAGAGGTATTACCAAATTATTAAAGTGAGTGTTTTCTTTCAGTTTATTCATTTTATTCAAAACAAACAAACAAAAACCCTCCTTATAAATCTTTTAAAAAATCAGGCCTTACAGCAAAGTTATGTAAAAATATTATGTAAAAATATCTGATACCAAGTCACAATGGTCTGTCAATAATGATTCAACTTAAAGTAACTAGAAAAATGTATTACACACATTACTACATACAATTATATTCTTTTATGATAAAAGCAGAATTTCTTTACCAATGTGAACATTATGAATACTATTTTTACCTATGCAGGGATTGTCAAATCTCTGTTTTAATCTTCATTGACAATATTTTGGCTGAACGTAACTCCCCTTAGACTATAATACACTGTACCACCTATACACATTAAAAAAAAAAAATCCCTTTTGCCCCTAGTAACATATATTTTTGGGATGTAGGCAGCCTTTTTCATATTCAGATGAGGCAAGAGTCAGTCCTGGGCTTTGACTTATGCTGGAAAAAGAAGGAATAAAAGGAAATGAAGACAGGTAGAAACTTGGAAATGAAATAATAGGAAAAGGAAAGGGAAGCAAGAAATTCAGGAGAGACTGGGGACAATAGGTCGCAAAAAGAAAAAAAAAAAAACCTGTAAACCAGTGAGTTATGATAAGTAAGTAATTAGAGAAAAGATAAAGTAGACGGAACTGGAAGAGCTTGTACTGACTAGAATGAACAGCAAGGAGGGAAATCAGTGATCTGGAAAGAGAAATGAGTGATAGAAATGAGGATCGACAGAGATTTCAAGAAGCTGGAAGGGATAATATGACATTGGCTAGGCAAAGAAACTGAGGAGAAGAAGTGAGCAAACTGGGAGACACTGGGACGAAAGAGCAGAGGAATTATGATTACAAAAGATGAAGGGAACTGATCGGTAAGAAAAGCCTGAGTAACTGACTGGTAGGAAAAGGCTCAGGACCGATACAATTGAGAAGAGATCTAGCTACTGGGGATCAAGCAATACAGACTGGGACCTGAGATTCCAAACTTCCATTATTGACATTCTGTCAGAAAGAATACATGCAAGTAGTGCTGGCTCACAGCACAAAATGCTAATAAGTATATTAGCTAATTTTTAGTGTTGTATGTACACAGTGCAGACTTTTACTCTTTGCAGTAAATCTACTCTTCTTCCCTTGAATTGCCTCCCACATGTTGCAAGGTAGCAACTAAGACACTGAAACAGGACAGAAACAATTTACTGCACCATCTTATGTTGCTACCAGAATGTTCTATTCTTGTCTACTACCAGAATCTAAGGGTCATGATAATACAGAGGTTGACATGTAGAATACTGGTGACCTATACAGAATTACAAGGACACTCAAAGGATCTGCACATCTATTTCAGAGAATTGTTGAGTACTTTCAGTCTCACTTAGGCTTCATGTTGTCTGTGGTTAGCTGTGAATAAAATCCAAAAATAAACACTCTGAACACTAATACAAACATCATTTTACAGACACCAAGCTAGTTGTTTTTTGGTAGGTTTTACAAACAGTGATTCCAAGGTTTAATTTAACCAGGAAAAACAACATTCTGCACGTTCATTAGAAGATGGAGCTGTGCAGAGAATCTGAATAAGTGAAAGGTCTTCAGCCACTAAAGAGCAGAGCAAACTCATTGACCTTTAATAGAGTGAAGGTATGGCTGGAAACCTCAGTAGAGGCAGTATTTTACAAGAATGAAAAGAATGTAATAAATGTGTGAAGGACTGTATTTAATTGCATACTGCTCATGTTACTTTTACAGACTTCTCAGATGT